ATATGGTGATATGTTACAAGTGTCCTCCTTGCTTCTGGATGAGTTTTATTTACACTTCCTGAGTTCCTGTGCAATTTACCGGATCGTAGTTTTCTGTGGCGTTCGTAGTAGATTTGGTATATTTGTTTATTTATAATAGTTAACAATTGCAGCATAAAATGAGATATATTAACTGATTTTTAAAACAAACAGAATACATTATAAAATACTTTTGATATCGGAACGGCATTTCCCTCACACGCCCTCGAAAACTTACGCTTGTGGACAGACGTCATATTTTCATTTCCTATCTTTTTCTTTGAGTGAAACCTTTTGGGAGGTTTTTACCAACGGCTTGGTAGCGGTAACATCACTGTCATTCTATTTAGACCAAGAGTCATCCGAAACCAACCCCTGGTCGAAGAGAGGGAATTCTTCAAGTGGCATATCTAGGTCCAAGACGAAAACGTCCCAGTGAATGAAGTCGTCCATGGCTGTGGCGAATGTAAATTGAAATAAATGTCCCGGAAGACACACATGTTCAGCAAATAATTTGCAGCCAACTGACATGTGCTAATGAGAGATATCATAAAAAAATCTTTGTAATCCGCTAAGAGACGTCCTTTTATTGGATTGTCGCTGGTCGTAGTCGGAGAAATCTCGGATAAGGGAATTAACTCTAGCCCCGGACATTATGTAATATTGTTTACGTGGTTGCTAGAATGGTCAGTCGTGAATGTCTGCGCATCTATTGCGCATCTGCAGCGGTACAGGGAGGTTAACAGCAGGGTGTCGGGGTGTATCAGTTACATGCCAGACCGTAGCGCTGATGGTTTATGATAAACTGTTGGTGAGGGCCGTCCCTCTATTATATAGTCTCTATTATATGGTCTCTGGTGGTACCGAGACATGCACTATCTCGCACAAATACCACATCCAATCATAACACCAGAGTCTGGTCACGGTCTGTCTGTCGCCAGCTGTATCCGTGTCTTATTAATTACCGGAAGACAAAGCGAGTGAATCAGGAAGGACACAATGACAGGAGGCAATCAGCTACTAGTGGTTGCATTATATAACACGCGGAGACGCGGAGACGCGGATGACCGCGTTGTCTGAAGCACCACAATTCGCGGGCTCAGGTTCATTGGAAATAAAACTTGCATCAAGTTCGATAAATTGTAAAACGGACAATACACACAACAAAATGTCTGAATTTATAAACAGATAACTGTTATGAACTTATAACATTAGAACAATGTTGTGTGACCATGCACTCATGTTGAATCCAATCCAATCAGTTCAATACACTCAGTTCAATACAATACACTCAGTTCAATACAATACTGTCAGTTCAATACAATACACTCAGTTCAACACCATACACTCAATTCAATACAATACACTCAGTTCCATACATTACACTCAGTTCAATACAATACACTCAGTTCAACACCATACACTCAGTTCAATACAATACTCTCAGTTCAACACAATACACTCAGTTCAATACAATACACTCAGTTCAATACAATAAACTCAGTTCAATACAACAGAGTCAGTTCAATGCAATACACTCATTTCAATACATTACATTCAGTTCAATAAAATACACTCAATTCAATACAATACACTCAGTTCAATACAATAAACTCAGTTCAATACAACAGAGTCAATTCAATGCAATACACTCATTTCAATACATTACATTCAGTTCAATAAAATACACTCAATTCAATACAATACACGCAGCTCAATACAATAAACTCAGTTCAATACAATAGATTCAGTTCAATACAATATACTCAGTTCAATACAATACACGCAGTTCAATACAATAAACTCAGTTCAATACAATAGAGTCAGTTCAATACAATACACTCAGTTCAATACAATACACTCAGTTCAATACAATACACTCAGTTAAGTACAATAGAGTCAGTTCAATACAAAACACTCAGTTCAATACAATACACTCAGTTAAGTACAATAGAGTCAGTTCAATACAAAACACTCAGTTCAATACAATACACTCAGTTCAATACAATACACTCAGTTCAATACAATAAACTCAGTTCACTACGATGAACTCAGTTCAATACAATACACTCAGTTTAATACAATACACTCAGTTCAATTCAATGGAGCCAGTTAAATACAATCAGTTCAATACAATACACTTAGTTCAATACAATACACTCAGTTCAATACAATACACTCAGTTCAATACACTCAGTTCAATACACTCAGTTCAATACACTCAGCTCAATACAACACACTCGGTTCAATACAATACACTCAGTTCAATACAATACACTCAGTCAACACAATACACTCAATTCAATACAATATACTCAATTCAATATAATAAACTCAGTTCAATACAATACACTCAGTTCAACACTATACACTCATTTCAATACAATACACGCAGTTAAACACAATACACACAATTCAATACCATAGAGCCACTTCAATACACTCAGTTCAATACATTACATTCAGTTCAATACAATAGAGTCAGTTCAATACAATAGAGTCAGTTCAATACAATACACTCAGTTAAATACAATACACTCAGTTCACTACGATGAACTCAGTTCAACACAATACACTCAGTTTAATACAATGCATTCAATTCAATACAATAGAGTCACTTCAATACATTCAGTTCAATTCAATGGAGACAGTTCAATACAATCAGTTCAATACAATACACCCAGTTCACTACGATGAACTCAGTTCAATACAATACACTCAGTTTAATACAATGCACTCAATTCAATACAATAGAGTCACTTCAATACACTCAATTCAATTCAATACACTCAGTTCAATACAATCAGTTCAATACAATACACTCAGTTCACTACGATGAACTCAGTTCAATACAATACACTCAGTTTAATACAATACACCCAGTTCAATACAATACACTCAGTTCAATACACTCAGTTCAATACAACACACTCAGTTCAATACAATATACTCAGTTCAATACAATAAAATCAGTTCAATACAATAAACTCAGTTCAATACAATACACTCAGTTCAATACAATACACTCAATTCAATATAATAAACTCAGTTCAATACAATACACTCAGTTCAACACTATACACTCAAAGCAATACAATAGAGTCAGTTCAATACACTCAGTGCAATACATTACATTCAGTTCAATACAATACACTCAGTTCAATACAATAAACTCAGTTCAATACAATACACTTAGTTCAAAACAATACACTCAGTTCAATACAATACACTCAGTTCAATACATTCAGTTCAATACTCTCAGTTCAATAAACTCAGCTCAATACAACACACTCAGTTCAATACAATACACTCAGTTTAATACAATAAAATCAGTTCAATACAATAACTCAGTTCAATACAATAAACTCAGTAAAAAAAAAGAGTTAGTAAAATACACTCAGTTCAATAAAATGGAGTCAGTTCAATACACTCAGTTCAATACACTCAGTGCAATACACTCAGTGCAATACAACACACTCAGTTCAATACAATAAACTCAGTTCAATGCAATACCCCCAGTTCAATAAAATGCACTCAGTTCAATGCAATACCCTCAGTTCAATGCAATACCCTCAGTTCAGTACAATGCACTCAATTCAATGCAACACTCTCAGTTCAATACAATACACTCAGTTCAATACAATACACGCAGTTCAACACAATACACTCAATTCAATACAAAAGAATCAGTTCAATACATTCAGTTCAATTCAATGGAGTCAGTTCAATACAGCCAGTTCAATACAATCAGTTCAATGCAATACACTCAGTTCAATACAATAAACTCAGTTCAATGCAATACACTCAGTTCAATACAATACACTCCGTTCAATGCAATACACTCAGTTCAATTCGATACACTCATTTCGATACAATACACTCAGTTCAGTTCGATACACTCAGTTCAATAGAATACAGTTACTTCAATAAAACACAGTTAGTTCAATACAATACACTCAGTTCAATACAATACATTCAGCCGATTACAATACACTAAGTTAAATACAATACATTCAGTTAAATACACTCAGTTAGATACAATAACAACCAGGTCAGTCCACTCAGTTCAATACAACACACTCAGTTCAATTCAATACACTCAGTTTAATACACTCAGTTAAATACAATTATAACAATCAGTTCAGTCCACTAAGTTCAATACAATACATTCAGTTCAATACACTCAGTTAGATACACTAACAACCAGGTCAGTCCACTCAGTTCAATACAACACACTCAGTTCAATTCAATACACTCAGTTTAATACACTCAGTTAAATACAATTATAACAATCAGTTCAGTCCACTAAGTTCAAATCAATACACTCAGTTTAATACACTCAGTAAAATACAATTATAACAATCAGTTCAGTCCACTCAGTTCAATACAATACACTCTGTTCAATACAATACGCCCAGTCCAATACTATACTTTCAGTTCAATACAATACAATACAATCAGTTCAATACAATACAATCAGTTCAATATAAGGCAATTCGTTCAATACAGTACTCTCAGTACAATATCATTTCATATATGACACACATGATAAACATTATACATCACTGACTAAGAGTTTCATGACGCTAGCGGGAACAGCATACAACATGTGATGACATCGAACACCAGGACAGTAACAGATACGGATTTATTGTGGTGTATTTGGAATATGATGGACATATGAAACCACCTACTGATGCACATTGTGTAGACACACACAGATGTTGCACCATTGTGTGAGCAACACATCTAATGGCCATCACAATATACATGTTATTGTTGGGAAATTTAATATAATTTATTAACATTTATTATCAACCACAATTGTTCCATTTTAATCATTTACTACAGGCCGTGGTGGCCTCTCACTATAGTTAACTGAGTCAGTACAACACCTAAACGTGTGGCCAACAATGCGGCAAACAATGTGATTGTTAAAAAACGATAACACACAAGACCACGTGATCATATGCAAGCTTTTCAAATGACACCCGATGTTATTCCGCGTGTCTCGCGATACGGTCGACGCGTATGATATGTATGTGTTGCCTTGCGTGAAACAAGGAACCGGATTATGTGAACATAATAGCAAAGCGGGAGAGAACAGACAACTCGACACACTGGGGCAACTACACTCTCCTCCATGTTCGGTAGGTACTGTTTATACGTTCGCGAGTTACAAACTCATTCCATGAAGTCGATTAGTTTCCATTAGTTTCTTTTGTTGCTAAATGCTCCAAGCACTGTCTAAGTGCTTTAAGCACTGTCTAAATGCTCCAAGCACTGTCTAAATACTCCAAGCACTATCTAAATGTTTCAAGCACCGTCTAAATGCTTCAAGCACTACCTAAATGCTTTCACAAAGCTTAATACAAACTAAATTAAAAGTACCCTCGCTGTGTATCCGCTGTGAATGTTATACTGACAATAAACGTGTCAACCATCCATCGTGGTATGCTGGATCACGCCTTGAAATTACAATATGGTTATTCATACTTTCATCTGGTTATGACAGAAAAGGTCAAGATGTAGTTCACGTCGCAAGTAACAATGTCACATGATCTGCAAACCTTTCGTCATCACCAGCCAAATCGAAACTTGCTGCTCTACTGACGCACGGGGGCCATGTATATATTACAGATTCTTGGTATAGAAGGTAGGAGATGCTACATTTAGCCTAGTACACGTGTATTTCTAGGCAATTCTATGTGTGGAAGTGGTGAGGTGAGGTGAAATGGGGTTTAAAGTCGCTTTCAAGATTAGTGCACTTTTATAGCGACGTGCGCGCGAGCGCGTGCGTGCATGCATGCGTGTGTGTGTGTGTGTGTGTGTGTGTGTGTGTGTGTGTGTGTGTGTGTGTGTGTGTGTGTGTGTGTGTGTGTGTGTGTGTGTGTGTGTGTGTGTGTGTGTGTGTGTGTTTTAGCTGTGTGTTTGACTGCTTCTACTAATCCGGACTCAAGCCGATTTTGACAGTGCTAGCCCACTGAGATACCATAACACAGCTTAACAGGAATGTCCCACTGAGACACAGTATGCTGACTCAGAGCCGATCAGTCCTTGTTTTAGCCCCTTAATGCTGAGCGCCGGACAGGGTAACAACAAGTACTGTCTGTTAACATCTTTTGGTATGACGCGGCCGGGGATCGAATTCTCGACCTCCCGCTCTTCTGGCAGACGCTCTATCACGAGACCACGGGGGCGGTCTGTATGGTAGAGAGTAGAGAGGGACAATTAATCAAATTAAATAATGTAATGTCATGGTGTTGGCATTTCCTAGGATAATGTTGGGTTGTGTGTCTTTAAGCTTAACTATCAACTTCTTGTTGCTTTATTTGATGTTTTATTAGTCATGTTTGAGAAAGATTAATTTTTTCAGCAGACGAGGTGTATTTCGGTAGAGTTCCTTGACCATTCTCTCAGTCGCTACAGAGAATCAGCTTCTCTCTAGCATGGAATCATATGCTCGTCATACATGTTGTAAAAAAATAGAGACATCATTATCTAATTCTCTTGAATCACTTCTCATAAATCGTTTTTACTTCTGTGTTTAGACGAAGCAATGCCTGACAATGTGGGTGTGGGTGATGATATCCAGTCTGATGCAGCATCTACCGGAAGTGGAGACGGAGGTTCCAGTGGGACACAGAATGGAACGACAAGAGAAGCCAGCAACCACAGGGGATGCTGTGGGGACATCGAGAAGGCGTGTGAGAACTGCCTCTCAACCATATGCTGCGGTACATGCATTGGATACGCTTTCTGCTGCTTGCCAATGAAAAAGAAAACCCGTGTCAGATGTATCTGGGCGTGGCTTTGTGTGCTCAGTGTGACTGGAGGCATCCTTATGAGCGTCGGGATATATGGCACAGGGCATAGCTCACCTTCTCCAACAGACATGCGTATCGTTACCCACAAAATATCATCAATATTTTGTAAGAAGCTACTGATTAATTCCACGTCGCATCTAACAACATATTCGTTTAATGAAGAACCACAGATAGACAGTAACTCTTCTCAAACATTTTCTACTGAACTGAAGACAACATTTAGAAATGATTATATCTCCTGGACATTTTATCTCCTAAAAGGTTCCCGGGTTGAATTGCGATCCTGTTCGGAAGCTGATATTTGGATATACGTCATAGCCGGTACCTCAAACTGGAAACTTTGGTCCCAGAATCTGCTTTGTCCTGACTGTTACCTCCAAAAGCATTTGCTAAAGAGGTCACGGTGTTCAAACAATCGCATCTCGGATGTTTTCACATTTATGGTTAACAAAACAGATGATTATTTTGTTCTGTACTGGAGAACGTCATTTGCAGCTTTCTTACATGTTAAACTATCCTTAGACAGGACGTTATACGATTTAACAAAGGCCACGCGGATATGCACAAATGGCTTATTAGCATGTGAATATGTTCTACAGTTTCCCCTGAAGCCATATATTGTGTACCACATGGGCGCGGTGACCTATGGAAGAAACACAGGACTAGTTACCGTTTGTGAACCGAGAGTCTGGGTATATTTCGGAATATTCTTTATTTTGCCGTTTAGTTTTGGAGCTGTTCTAAGTATCGTCGTAGCTAAGTTCTGCAAAGAACCTCCAAGAGCAAGATCCACCCGCAGACCGAGAGCAGGTGTTATACCCCCTACATGTGATGACGAGAGAGACTATTTGTTCAGCCCCAGCCAAGACGTATGTCACTATTCGGGGATCCCTCAGCCCCCGAAGTATGAGGATATAGAACGACTCCGGGACTCGCCGCCACCTAGTTATGAAGCCACCATGAGGCAGTCTGGACCTGTGTGATGTAGTATACCAGGGGTGTTCATTAAAGACTTAGGGTTATCATATTTAGTTGAAATTCCACATGTGTAATGATACATGTATCTATGGGTTATGTCTGAATTTGCAGCACCGAACTATTAATGTTACCACTTTTACAGGTGTTATGATCGAGTAGGGTGTGACAATGGAGCCAGTAGAATACCGAGCAGTGATTAGGTTTTTATATTTGAAAGGTCGCACACCAAAAGAAACTTTCGATGAAATGAAAGCAACTTATAGGGAAGATGCCCCATCATATGACGTTGTAAAACACTGGCATCGCCAGTTCAAGTGTGGTCGGACATCTGTGGAAACAGCTGCCATTCCTGGTCGCCCCCATTCAGCCATTGATGAGGACACTTTCCATCAAGTGGAGACCGCCATTTTGGCTGACCGACGTATAACTGTTCGCCAGTTAGCGCAAGATGTCAAGATCAGTGTAGGGTCTTTGGACAAAAATCATCCATGACAATTTGAACACGCACAAGGGCTTTTACAAGCGAGGTCTCCATAGTTGCATAAAACGATGGGAGAAGTGTGTAACTCTTGGTGGTACCTATGTGGAGAAAGACTAATACCTATTCCAGGTTTCATTCCACTAGGTCCATCAGAAGTTGGTCAGGGGAAATGTTTAATGAACACCCCTCGTACACGTATTTCATTTGTATCGTTCTTTTTGGAGCATGGGTGGTCTTTTAAAGTGATACATCGACTGGCCATGGTTTTCTATTGATAAAGTAATTAGAAATGAATTCATTCTTTCTGGAAAATATTTGAAGAAAGGTTTTGAGACCAGCAGATTCGTGATGTTGGAGATGGTATTGGCTTCTAGCTGACGGTTAACTCATCCACTTTTGTTGTGGTGATTATGACAAAAATGTAAACATTTATGTTGTTTCATAATAACGTTATCATCTGGTTCCTAGACTCGTTTCATTGAAGGCCAATCACATTCGAGCTGTCCCGGGGATAAGTGAGACGCCGTGACCAAATAATGACTTTCTATAATTAGTGGTAAACCTGTTCAATCAACTGATGAGGTTATATGCAAGAAATATTCCAGCAATATGACGGCGGTCTGGACCAGACAATGTAGTGATCGACATCATGAGCATCGACCTACGCAACTGGGATACGAAGACATGCATGAACCAAGTCAGCGAGCCTCACCATCCGATCCCGTTAGTGGCCTTTTACGACAAGCATGGGTTGCTGAAAGTCAATTCTAACCTGTATCATGGGTCAAATGTGTGTATGCCTATGAAAGGTACACATGTGTACTGACGCAGTGTACGTTTGTATTCATTACATAATTTGTGCATGCATTTTATTATCGACATGCGAAACAATATAGCGGTTTGTGGGGTTTTTTCTTGTCTAACAGAAGAGTCACTTAATACAGCCATTCCTATACAACAATGTTTTGATCTTTTTTTTTCATGATAAACGTTGCGTTGCTACCGACCTGTCATGTCACCATGACTTGTATTTCAATACTTCCTGCTTCCTGCTTGCGTGATACACTACTAGACTTACCAGGTTCGAGGAACGACCAACTGTCTTCCTGGAATGATGTTGTTCACGTTGTGTCAGAATGCACGGAACTATACGGGAACTTGTTCACAAAGTAATATTATACAAGTAGGTATATCAGAATTTATTAAATTAGCTAAATTTCATTGTGTCCGGATTTGGTTGTGACCTGGCGTGTATGGGTGTTGTATGTGAAAGTGATATTGATATATCCCATATCCATGACCTGAGAGGAAGGAGGGGGCGGCTGTGGAACTGATACAGATGTAGTATCCTATGACCTGAGATGAAGGGAGGCTGTGGAGCTAATACATATGTAGTATCCTTTGACCTGAGGAAAGGGAGGCTGTGGAGCTGATACAAATGTAGTATTCAATGACCTGAGGTAAAGGGAGGCTGTGGAACTTATACAGATGTAGTATCCAATGACCTGAGTTGAAGGGCGGCTGTGGAACTGATACAGATGTAGTATCCTATGACCTGGGTTGAAGGGAGGCTGTGGAACTGATACATATGTAGTATTCAATGACCTGAGTTGAAGGGAATCTGTGGAACTTATACAGATGTAGTATCCAATGACCTGAGTTGAAGGGCGGCTGTGGAACTGATACAGATGTAGTATCCTATGACCTGGGTTGAAGGGAGGCTGTGGAACTGATACATATGTAGTATTCAATGACCTGAGTTGAAGGGAATCTGTGGAGCTGATACAGATGTAGTATCCTATGACCTGAGGTGAAGGGAGGCTGTGGAACGGATACATATGTAGTATCCAATGACCTGAGTTGAAGGGAGGCTGTGGAACTGATACAGATGTAGTATCCAATGACCTGGGTTGAAGGGAGGCTGTGGAACTGCTACAGATGTAGTATCCAATGACCTTAGGTGAAGGGAGGCTGTGGATATGATAGATGACCTATGACCTATGAGATAAGGGGAAGTGATAATGATGTCGTATCCTATGACCTTAGCTTCTACTACAAGTTGTCGCCATGCACACACACACAGCTTCATGGACATGTTGGGTTAGCTTCTACTACAAGTTGTCGCCATGCACACACACACCTTCATGGACATGCTGGGTTAGCTTCTACTACAAGTTGTCGCCATGCACACACACAGCTTCATGGACATGCTGGGTTAGCTTCTACTACAAGTTGTCGCCATGCACACACACACAGCTGCATGGACCATGCTGGGTTAGCTTCTACAACAAGTTGTCACCATGCACACACACAGCTTCACGGACCATGTTGGGTTAGCTTCTACTACAAGTTGTTGCCATGCACACACACAGCTTCATGGACATGCTGGGTTAGCTTCTACTACCTTTTGTCGCCATGCACACACACAGCTTCATGGACATGCTGGGTTAGCTTCTACTACAAGTTGTCGCCATGCACACACACAGCTTCACGGACCATGTTGGGTTAGCTTCTACTACCAGTTGTTGCCATGCACACACACAGCTTCATGGACATGCTGGGTTAGCTTCTACTACCAGTTGTCGCCATGCACACACACAGCTTCATGGACATGCTGGGTTAGCTTCTACTACAAGTTGTCGCCATGCACACACACAGCTTCATGGATATGCTGGGTTAGCTTCTACTACAAGTTGTCGCCATGCACACACACAGCTTCATGGACCATGTTGGGTTAGCTTCTACTACAAGTTGTCGCCATCCACACACATAGCTTCATGGACATGTTGGGCTAGCTTCTACTACAAGTTGTCGCCATGCACACACACAGCTTCATGGACATGTTGGGTTAGCTTCTCCTACAAGTTGTCGCCATGCACACACACATAGCTTCATGGACCATGCTTGGGTTAGCTTCTACTACAAGTTGTCGCCATGCACACACACAGCTTCATGGACATGCTGGGTTAGCTTCTACTACAAGTTGTCGCCATGCACACACATAGCTTCATGGACATGTTGGGTTAGCTTCTACTACAAGTTGTCGCCATACACACACACAGCTTCATGGACATGCTGGGTTAGCTTCTACTACCAGTTGTCGCCATGCACACACACAGCTTCATGGACATGCTGGGTTAGCTTCTACTACAAGTTGTCGCCATGCACACACACAGCTTCATGGACATGCTGGGTTAGCTTCTACTACAAGTTCTCGCCATGCACACACACAGCTTCATGGACCATGCTGGGTTAGATTCTACTACAAGTTGTCGCCATGCACACACACAGCCTCATGGACATGTTGGGTTAGCTTCTACTACCAGCTGTCGCCATGCACACACACACAGCTTCATGGACCATGCTTGGTTAGCTTCTACTACCAGTTGTCGCCATGCACACACACAGCTTCATGGACCATGTTTGGTTAGCTTCTACTACAAGTTGTCGCCATGCACACACACAGCTTCATGGACCATGTTGGGTTAGCTTCTACTACAAGTTGTCGCCATGCACACACACAGCCTCATGGACATGTTGGGTTAGCTTCTACTACAAGTTGTCGCCATGCACACACACAGCTTCATGGACCATGTTGGGTAAGCTTCTACTACCAGTTGTTGTCATACACATACATAGCTTCATTGACATGCTGGGTTAGCTTCTACTACAAGTTGTCGCCATCCACACACATAGCTTCATGGACATGTTGGGTTAGCTTCTACTACAAGTTGTCGCCATGCACACACACACACACAGCTTCATGGACCATGTTGGGTTAGCTTCTACTACCACTTGCCGCCATGCACACACACAGCTTCATGGACATGCTGGGTTAGCTTCTACTACAAGTTGTCGCCATGCACACACATAGCTTCATGGACATGTTGGGTTAGCTTCTACTACAAGTTGTTGCCATGCACACACACACAGCTTTATGGACCATGTTGGGTTAGCTTCTACTACAAGTTGTCGCCATGCACACACATAGCTTCATGGACACGTTGGGTTAGCTTCTACTACAAGTTGTCGCCATGCACACACACAGCTTCATGGACATGCTGGGTTAGCTTCTACTACAAGTTGTCGCCATGCACACACATAGCTTCATGGACATGTTGGGTTAGCTTCTACTACAAGTTGTCGCCATGCACACACACACACCTTCAAGGACCATGTTGGGTTAGCTTCTACTACAAGTTGTCGCCATGCACACACACACCTTCATGGACATGCTGGGTTAGCTTCTACTACAAGTTGGCGCCATGCACACACACACAGCTTCATGGACCATGTTGGGTTAGCTTCTACTACAAGTTGTCGCCATGCACACACATAGCTTCATGGACATGTTGGGTTAGCTTCTACTACAAGTTGTCGCCATGCACACACACAGCTTCATGGACATGCTGGGTTAGCTTCTACTACAAGTTGTCGCCATGCACACACATAGCTTCATGGACATGTTGGGTTAGCTTCTACTACAAGTTGTTGTCATGCACACACACATAGCTTCACGGACCATGTTTGGTTAGCTTCTACTACAAGTTGTCGCCATGCACACACACAGCCTCATGGACATGTTGGGTTAGCTTCTACTACAAGTTGTCGCCATGCACACACACAGCTTCATGGACCATGTTGGGTTAGCTTCTACTACCACTTGTCGCCATGCACACACATAGCTTCATGGACCATGTTGGGTTAGCTTCTACTACAAGTTGTCGCCATCCACACACATAGCTTCATGGACCATGTTGGGTTAGCTTCTACTACCACTTGTCGCCATGCACACACATAGCTTCATGGACCATGTTTGGTTAGCTTCTACTACAAGTTGTTGTCATGCACACACATAGCTTCATGGACATGATGGGTTAGCTTCTACTACCACTTGTCGCCATGCACACACATAGCTTCATGGACCATGTTTGGTTAGCTTCTACTACAAGTTGTCGCCATCCACACACATAGCTTCATGGACCATGTTTGGTTAGCTCTACTACCACTTGTCGCCATGCACACACATAGCTTCATGGACCATGTTGGGTTAGCTTCTACTACCACTTGTCGCCATGCACACACATAGCTTCATGGACATGTTGGGTTAGCTTCTACTACAAGTTGTTGTCATGCACACACACATAGCTTCATGGACCATGTTTGGTTAGCTTCTACTTCAAGTTGTCGCCATGCACACACACAGCTTCATGGACATGTTGGGTTAGCTTCTACTACAAGTTGTCGCCATGCACACACACAGCTTCATGGACCATGTTGGGTTAGCTTCTACTACCACTTGTCGCCATGCACACACATAGCTTCATGGACCATGTTGGGTTAGCTTCTACTACAAGTTGTCGCCATCCACACACATAGCTTCATGGACCATGTTGGGTCAGCTTCTACTACCACTTGTCGCCATGCACACACATAGCTTCATGGACATGTTGGGTTAGCTTCTACTACAAGTTGTCGCCATGCACACACACAGCTTCATGGACATGTTGGGTTAGCTTCTACTACCAGTTGTCGCCATGCACACACACAGCTTCATGGACCATGTTGGGTTAGCTTCTACTACAAGTTGTCGCCATGCACACACATAGCTTCATGGACATGTTGGGTTAGCTTCTACTACAAGTTGTCGCCATGCACACACATAGCTTCATGGACATGTTGGGTTAGCTTCTACTACAAGTTGTCGCCATGCACACACACACACCTTCATGGACCATGTTGGGTTAGCTTCTACTACAAGTTGTCGCCATGCACACACACACAGCTTCATGGACCATGTTGGGTTAGCTTCTACTACAAGTTGTCGCCATGCACACACATAGCTTCATGGACACGTTGGGTTAGCTTCTCCTACAAGTTGTCGCCATGCACACACACAGCTTCATGGACATGCTGGGTTAGCTTCTACTACAAGTTGTCGCCATGCACACACATAGCTTCATGGACATGTTGGGTTAGCTTCTACTACAAGTTGTTGTCATGCACACACACATAGCTTCATGGACCATGTTTGGTTAGCTTCTACTACAAGTTGTCGCCATGCACACACACAGCTTCATGGACCATGTTGGGTTAGCTTCTACTACCACTTGTCGCCATGCACACACATAGCTTCATGGACCATGTTGGGTTAGCTTCTACTACAAGTTGTCGCCATCCACACACATAGCTTCATGGACCATGTTGGGTTAGCTTCTACTACCACTTGTCGCCATGCACACACACATAGCTTCATGGACATGCTGGGTTAGCTTCTACTACAAGTTGTTGTCATGCACACACACATAGCTTCATGGACATGTTGGGTTAGCTTCTACTACAAGTTGTTGTCATGCACACACACATAGCTTCATGGACCATGTTTGGTTAGCTTCTACTACAAGTTGTCGCCATGCACACACACAGCTTCATGGACATGTTGGGTTAGCTTCTACTACAAGTTGTCGCCATCCACACACATAGCTTGATGGACCATGTTGGGTCAGCTTCTACTACCACTTGTCGCCATGCACACACATAGCTTCATGGACATGTTGGGTTAGCTTCTATTACAAGTTGTCGCCATGCACACACACAGCTTCATGGACATGTTGGGTTAGCTTCTACTACCAGTTGTCGCCATGCACACACACAGCTTCATGGACCATGTTGGGTTAGCTTCTACTACAAGTTGTCGCCATGCACACACATAGCTTCATGGACATGTTGGGTTAGCTTCTACTACAAGTTGTCGCCATGCACACACACACAGCTTCATGGACATGTTGGGTTAGCTTCTACTACAAGTTGTTGCCATGCACACACACAGCTTCATGGACCAAGCTCCAATTACATATAATATCCCGATACACACGTACAGAATGTAGCTTGATCAATGCCATGCCGGATTAGATGTAAATACTACATACGGTATCCCGATGCAAAGACAGCTTTTGCCGTCGCATTTTACTCACGTTATGTTTGATTACTGGCATTTAAATGTGGCTTAAATGTTCTAAACGCTTGTTTAGTAGCATGCTGTACTATTGCAAACTTTATTTCACACTCGAATGACAAAGTTTATTAACAGGTTACAAACTCAACTATTTGAAAACATAATGAATTCTTCATATCTGCTCTGAGCACGTAGACGTAGACCTCGATACACACAGATTGTGTTCATCAATATGACACGGGGAAACTGTTGATTGCGGTCTGGGTTTCCAGAGGATCTTACATCAGTTGGTTATCATGCAGCTGAAATATCTCGCCATGCCTTATTGGAGTACGGCAAGGAGAACTGTTACCATCTGGGTTCTTATCCTTGTGTTTGAATGGCACTGAACAATTCTGATCGCACAATGCCATACCCAATGTAAACTGATACTCTAAGGCCTAATTTTTCAGACTTGTTATTTATGATGTATTTTTTGGAACAAGTATTGGGCTATTTGGAAAATAGTGTAAAACATGAAGATCAGGGGTAGAATAGGTCTTCAGCAACCCATGCTTGTCGTATGAGGCGACTAACGGGATCGGGTGGTCAGGCTCACTGACTTGGTTGATGCATGTCATCGATCCCAAGTGCCCAGATCGATGTTCATGATATAAATCACTGGATTGTCTCGTCCAGACTCAATTATTTCACCAAAGTGGTAAAGTGGTAAATGTTTAAGAACTGCATCACTTCGGCCTTTTTCCCCCACGTCAAGCTGACATGCCGTGATATTGCTCAAAGTGGCGTTAACACTCACTCACTCACTCACTCACTCACTCACTTCAAGCCGTATGTGTGCTAACATGACTGAAGAATCGGAAGGTATCCTTTACTCCGGTCGCGATGGTACATCATAGTTATTTATTCTTTTAGTCACATTAGAGGCCACGGGTGTCCTAGACGTATACGTGTGGCAATATTACCCCTCATTATGATCCATGCAATGGGTGAGTAGTGGATTTTACTAAGGGTTTCACCTTCGATCTGTCTCAGTTTTGTTCCGACATTAAGCTAATGATAATACGTATAAAGTTATCAACGTTACACAGACTCCCCAGGTGAAGTCGTGAAGCACTCTGGATATATCTGAATGACATGGAACATAGAACGCTTCCTGTTCGTATTCATATGAAGTTTAAGTGAAGCGAAATTTAATAACATTACAAAATACTTCTTTGTGTGAATTGTCTTTATTCGTCCTGATATCTCAAAGCACCACATCTCAAATCGTTGAGAGTAAACAGTTTCCTGAAGTGCATGGGTAGGTCAGATGACAAATCTTTTCATAAATGCTGCCCCGTGTGCACGGTAAACCATTGTTCATGGCGGCTTTGGCAAGAGCTTTATAGTAGGCGACAATCTTCAGCTGGAGATTCGGTTTGTAGGCGCCACAGTGGTGTGGGTTCGCCCCATAGTAGGAACAATCTACGTTCATGTTGCCGATATGATTCTTACAGGAATGGAGCCGCACCCCACGAGGTCCTTTACCAGAGGAATTGCCACCTTTCAGTTCAGTAAACGCACACATGGTGTTTCCTGCGCTGATTGTCCCCTGCAAATACAAACTGATGGAGTAAACTGGGAATCACAACAGTTCACAGAATCACAAGAGTAGTCGTTGAACAAACGAGAGTTTGAGTCTCGTAAATCATCAAATTAGGTAAAATCGCTCTGATAATATATTTATTATTTAATTAATAGATAAATTTATTAGATAAATAGAATTAAACATGAGTCATTTTAATTTATGTTACTCATTAGTATACAAATGATCCCTCTAAATCCCCCGAGGGTGTGGGTCAATCGCTTATTTCTTGTTCCTCCGATCTATCATTAAATGTAGTCGAAAGTTACTGAAATAAGTTATGGAGCCATCAATGGAACGTGCATTGCTGTTAGTGGTTCCCCTATATGTTTAATATAGACCAGAAATGTGCTGGAAAATACGTCTTGTGCCACTGCTAAAGATATATAAACAAGACCTGTAGGGATCGGGTAAGAACAGATCTAAACAGTGAGGGTACTTCTGGTGTGAACGTCATACTGACCTTGTCAGATGCGGGTCAGTATAGGTTACCAGCAGCAACCCACACTTGCTGTAAGAAGTGACAAGATTGTTGTAAGAGGCGACTAACGGGATCGGGTGGTCAGGCTCGCTGACTTGGTTGATGCATGCCATCGTCTCCCGATGTCAATCACTGGATTATGTACAGGCCGCCGTCATATAGCTGGAATGTTGCTGTGTGAGGCGTTAAGCAGCAAACAAACAGACATACTGACCTTGTAAGCTGCACCCCTGCTGGCCGAGACTGGCACGGTGACCAGCAACAGACAGTAGAGGAGAGTTTCCATGACGCCTTGACACACGTGGAACCGATAGATATGTACAAACAGAAATACCAGCATGGGGGGAGATACAAACATTAAAACCAGCATGGAGGGAGATACAAACATTAATACCAGCATGGAGGGAGATACAAACATTAAAACCAGCATTGAGGGAGATACAAACATTAATACCAGTATGGAGGGAGATACAAACATTAATACCAGTATGGAGGGGGCTATTTACAATAACACCAGCATTGAGGGAGATACAAACATTAATACCAGTATGGAGGGAGATACAAACATTAATCCCAGTATGGAGGGGGGTATTAACAATAACACCAGCATTGAGGGAGATACAAACATTAATACCAGTATGGAGGGAGATACAAACATTAATCCCAGTATGGAGGGGGGTATTAACAATAACACCAGCATTGAGGGAGATACAAACATTAATACAGAATGAAGGGAGATACAAACATTAATATAGCACGATACAAATTTTAATACGGAAATGTAGTGAGATAAAACAGTATGGAGGGGGATACAAACATTAATACCAGCAATGAGGGAGATAAAAACAGTAACACCAGCAATGAGTAGGATAGAAACATAGACACCAGCAATGAGGGAGATACAAACATTGATACCAGCAATGAGGGAGATATATACAAACAGTAATACCAGCATGGAGGGAGATACAAACATTAACAACAGCATTAAGAGAGAAACACACATTAATACTAGCATGGGGGGAGATACAAACATTAATACCATCATGGAGGGTAATGCAAACATAATTAGCATCATGGAGGAAGATACAAATTTCAATCCGTGCTTGGAGGGGGAAATAAACATAAATACCAGCAATGAGAGAGATACACACATTAATACGAGCATTGGGGGATATACAAACATTAATACCAGTATGGAGGATGAAACAAGCAGTTACAATGGCATAGAGAAAGATACAAACATGTATAGAGCCACGGAGGGAGATACCAACTTGTATACCAACACGACGGGAAATTCAAATTTCAATACCAGCATGGAGGGAGAAATAAACATTAATAACAGCAAGGAGGGAGAAACAAACATTAATACCAGGACAGAGAGGGAAGCAAACCTCAATACCAGCATGGAGGGAGATACAAACATCCATACCAGCATGAAACAGGAACCCCAACACGGAGAGAGATACAAACAGGAACCCCAACACGGAGAGAGATACAAACAGGAATACCAGCACTGAGGGAGATACAAACAGGAACCCCAACACGGAGGGAGATACAAACAGGAATGCCAGCACTGAGGGAGATACAAACAGGAACCCCAACACGGAGAGAGGTACAAACAGGAACCCAAACACGGAGAGAGATACACACAGGAACCCAAACACGGAGAGAGATACAAACAGGAACCCCAACACGGAGAGAGATACAAACAGAACCCCAACACGGAGGGGATACAAACAGGAACCCCAACACGGAGAGAGATACAAACAGGAACCCCAACACGGAGAGAGAAACAAACAGGAACCCCAACACGGAGAGAGATACAAACAGGAACCCCAACACGGAGAGAGATACAAACAGGAACCCCAACACGGAGCGAGATACAAACAGGAACCCCAACACGGAGAGAGATACAAACAGGAACCCCAACACGGAGAGAGATACAAACAGGAACCCCAACACGGAGAGAGATACAAACAGGAACCCAAACACGGAGAGAGATACAAACAGGAACCCCAACACGGAGAGAGATACAAACAGGAATGCCAGCACTGAGGGAGATACAAACAGGAACCCCAACACGGAGAGAGATACAAATAGGAACCCCAACACGGTGAGAGATACAAACAGGAACCCCAACACGGAGAGAGATACAAACAGGAACCCCAACACGGAGAGAGATACAAACAGGAAGACCAGCACTGAGGGAGATACACACATAACACTGTTATGGAAAAAATACAAACAATAATCCCAACATGTACAGGACAGGAAACAAACAATTGCAAGGTTTTACGATTAAACGTTTTACTTACAAGCGACAACTGATGCTGACTGATGAAAACTGTTGAATGTTGAACCCAGTCAATCTGTATGCAGACCTCTGTTAGTGGTGCACATTCACATATTTATGTATGGGGACAGGTGCGAAGAAGAATTTTAATTCGCGGGCACTAAATACAGTTGAGCGGAGCTTGATTAATACCTTTAGATCATATCTGTCAGTTGTGCTGATGCTCACCTCTCTATAACAGTTTTACAGTTTTTAATAAAGGTCATTTTTTTATGAAAGATAAAACAAAATGTTTTACGTATTCATTTACATCCGATATTCAGTAAATTTATTCTGGTTTACTTTTGTCTGGAAAAGACCACCTTGGAGAGAATCGATCCATGGCAGCAGGTCGTGTAGGCTTACGATAGTCTTAGCGCTAAGATCGCTTTGTGCAAGTGGGCCCAGGTCTCCAGTGTGAAGCGCCAATCCGTAGGGTATCAATTGCCCTCATTGAACCAAATCATTTGCAATATGATTATGATAGCAAAATGTAAACAGGTGATGACAACGTCTCACTCGTAGGGGGCACCTGTTGTGTCATATATTCAATCCAGTTGCACCTCATAACTAATTGAATTGGAATTACATGTGTTTTATAGTTTTCATAACACACTGTAACATTACGAACTTTATGTCACAATAAAGATTTGTCACGACCTGATGGCTATTAACTGGATGCACATATGCTCTCCATCGACAGAAATAGCTGAAGTAAAAACAAGATTCATAAAACATTAAGAAAAAATGGAAAATTAAATCAAACAATATGAATAGCCAGGTATTTAACTCGGTCAGGCAGTTGTTTTCTTACGTAACAAGCTTAAAGGGACAAAACCATTTCCATAATCATAAGAAGTCCTCTGTACGACATTATAAGCATGTGCTTATGAATCACTATTAAATAATAATAAGAAGAAGAAGAAGAAATAAGATAAGATAAGATAATAATAAGACATTTAGGGTATTTGACACCCTCACACGAAGAATCATGGCAGACAATAGATCCCACCACCCTCGCTCTTCCCTCAATCGCGTATATTTACCAATTATGATGGGAGGGCGTGGTTTGATTAATGTGGAGGCTCTTCATGATAGAATTGTTTTGTGCACGTTTGCACACATTTATTTGTCTGATGATCCTCTTGTGAAGCATGTCAAGACTCATGATCAAAAAAGGCATACCACAGTTTTCTAATCTCAATGTCAGTGTTGACTATGTTGATGGTTCTGTACTGCTGGACGGTACAGAAATGAGTGTCAACCAAGCGAAATGCCATATCCAGACCACTGCAGCGAGTTTATGTGCAGTGTGTTGGGAAGGTAAGCAAACCCTTTGCTTGGATGAGGTCGGTGGGCCTGAAAAGTGATACAGAAGGCTTTTGTTTCCTGCTCAGGACCAGTCACTTCCCACTCGAAACCGTGATTTTGCATCAACATGTTAATATGAAATGACGACTATGTAATGAATTTAATGAGACTGTCCTACACATTGGCAGTGGATGCCCAGCATTTGCACAGACACGGTATCTGAAGCGAAATGATGGAGTGGCGCGATCATTTTATTACCATCTTCACCATGCTTGTGGTTTTGACACAGAGGTCAATCCATAGTAATACCCGAAATATGTAGAGGGCGTCATGGAAAATTATAGATACAAAATTCTTTGGAATAGTTCCATTTACAGCCTCAGGCGTATCCAGGCCAACAAACCTGATCTTTTTGATAAATCTAATGAAATCATCAATATCATTGAATTTCCTGTCCCTTTTGACACCAATGGGATTGCAAAAGATGCAGACCTTCGAAATGTCACGCTTGCATCCTAAGTACCAAGTTTCCCAACTCCCATTTTTCTCGGTGCCTTGGGTTTGGTACGTCCCATTCTGTTGACTGACATTGAGAGAGTCCCCGGGTTTGCTACCAGGAATACAGATCTTCTGACACTCTGTGTAATGCAGAAGGCTGCAGTGTTAGGGAGTCTTCACATTTTCCGAAAAGTTCTGGGTGGGTTTGACTAGGCAGCACTTCCTGGGAAAAGTCCCATTCGCTGTCTGGGCTGCGTGTAGAGGGGGCAAGGGCCCTGAGCTGACGATAAGCCTAACCAGCCTGACTGTGCCAGGATCACCCAAACCCTCTTTGCTGCATTTTATATTTTACTTTGTAATAACAATTTGTAATTAACTTTGTTAATAATAATAATAATAATAATAATAATAATAATAATAATAATAATAATGCACAGTCATTATCTATTCCCGTGACTCTCGTGAATAGGGAGGTTTAAACTTCACATAAAGCAAATGTTTTTAAACCATATATGACATTGGATCAAAAACACATTCAGAAGCCCTACAGTTCAGGCTGGCCTTCATTGGTGTAAGGATTATTCTCATACACCAGTGTAAAGTAGAAATAGTTTTACACACACATTGAGGATTAATGGATAAATGTTAAACATTGTATCTAAAATTAAAAAAATGATATTTCTTTATTTGCAATTCTGAACTAAGATGTAAAAAGAGAACAAGATTGTTCAGTAGACAACATTTAAATTTCCTTCAAATTACGTTAAAATGTCTTCTCAGATTCTGTAAAGCATTATCAACACGAATCCATTAAAGTTCAAAACTAATAAGCTCAAGAGACACAAGGTAAGATTCTCTTTATCATCCAAAATCATTCTTCCAACTTTTTCAGTTGGTAAATTGTATTAAATAAGAGGTGTCCTGAGTGTATATGAAGCATTGCTTACCAGCTTCAGTAGCAGAGGGATTAGGGACGCCATTCGATTGTGGCGTCATGGCAACCGATGACACGACAATGATCTTCAAAAACATTGTCATGCAATATCATTGCATCGATATCTCCTGGCAGATATCACTTGATCTCGCCCAAGCGATATCTCACGTGGATGTCAATTTAGGATGATAAAGTGCCTTACAAACTGACAATGATATAACTTTATGTAAAAGCTGGACAAAGTCGTTCTCTGGGTCCATGTATTTTATTAATACTGAAGATGGTAGACCTAAACAATAATACACAAACTTTTTATATACTTGGTAACATCATGTATGGCCTTTCATAGATGATAATGCTGCATCTTATCTGCATATTACACATGTATATAATAATAACATATGGCTGAAAGTATCAGTTATCATACATTTATATTCATCATCGTAATACACACAGTGTGTAATTCTTTTCAATGAACACAATGCATAAAAGTACAATATAAACATTTGCATGGTAGAAAGTACCTTTTACATACAATGTCAAACATACCAATAGCACTAACCTCCAGTAAAATAACAGATCCCGTGGGTATGAACACCTTTATAACGGTTTTTACACTAAATAATCTAACTAATTACAAAGTAACTTACCAAAAAAAATATAGACAAGCAAATGACAATGTACCCGCCGAGGTTTATAGACTTACTCCCAACTACCTCTGTTACATCTGTAAACGACTGGAATGGGCTTCCAGGCCTAGTAGGACGTAACTACAATACAATATACAAAACTGACAATTCCATTCAAATACAGTCTTAGTAATTAACAACTTATAAAGTGCATAATTCTATAAACCACTCTGAGATTCGAGCCTTATTTAAGTCCCTCGCTTGCACGTGGCATTGAAACGTAAACAAAATGGAACAAAAGAAAAAACAAATGAGTAGAAGTGTATAATTACAGTACAAGGGAAATTCGAGTTTCATGTAGTACAGCATGACCAACGGGAGATAACTGCTGATGTGATAGATAACTATAACAGCAGTCACTACATCTAAAACCCGTAGTTATTTTATTAATCTCATAACACAACTGAAATATTATGCACTTCTTTGTGCTCACACAACCACTGAGAAAAGAAATGTTGACAAGGTTACAATTCTACTACTTGCAACGCTGATGAAAATACATGTAAACAATGGAACAGCCTCTCCACGGCGTTCCTATACTCTATAGTACAGGGGCTGCTACAAGATGGTAACTCGATACTTAACACAATTTCTACAAAATTTAACTTTGCCACTAAAACCATCACAGACAAATATACTACTAGAGCATCACCCGACAATATATCAGCTAAAGGGGTCTACTTACTCATTGATAAGTTAGCTAATGAGAGCTGGTCCAAAACAATGTGCTCTGTGTTGAAACAACGTGCTCGGCTGGCTGTCTAAAACAATGGAATTGGCCTGGGCGGAAGATGGAGTGATAAACAGAGCATTTTGGGATATCCCACAGCAATTAACTAAGGCCAGTTACGTATTTATGAACTTGTAGAAAATAAACAAATCTTAAAAGGATATGGTTACATTGACATATAAAATAACTTCTTAATGAGGAATGTTCACAAACATTTTCGAGCACAGTCGGAAACTGCCGAAGATAAAGTAAGCAACAGTGCGTGTCTGATAGCTACTTTACGTTATTTTACAAGAAATAGAACAGTGACCTTGACCTTTGACGTATCCTACAAAACCATATCCAGTGCACGGACCCGTCCCAGAGTAAGTGAGAGAATGAGTTACGTTTAACGCCGGTTATGTAATTGGCGGCGGATCACGGGTTCTCGGTAGCCAAAACGTTGTCCGTCAGCAACTGCACAAGACGTCATGACACAGCTAATAGAGGCACAACGGGGCAACGTCCCTTGACAATTGGAAGCTAGAGACTCGCAGTCAGCAGTAGCCAGGGTGTTCAGTGTATCCTACAGTTTGCGTCCGTACCAACAACCTCGCACGTGACCTGACCGACCACGGTCTGACCGACCCCACGGTAGAATTCGAACCGGGTCACGTGATTTGCAGCAAATTTCCATGAGGTTTGTTACGTCTGAACTTGATGAAAAGTGTTACAACTATTCTAATTAAGCACTGTCATCACTCTTCTTTATGAATATTGTAATCACAATACGAGACAAAATGTTTTAAGTACACGATGAAGATTAGGAGTGTTACTGCTACACTTGAAGATGTGAGGTGAAACGGGGTTTAACGTGTTCAAGATTATTACATGTATTATT